GCCCTCCCGACGGTCCCCGAACTTACCGCCCCTTGTTCCGGACGGTCTTGCTCCGTCGCCTCCGTCTCCCGCTCCCTGTCACTGAGAACACATGTCGATGCCATCGCCGTTTGGCGCCCCCGCCCCTGCTTAGTGCCGGCCCACGCCACCCCCTAGCTGTGCTTGTGTCCTAGTGCCCGGGACTCCCCCTTAAGCACGTGCTTCACCGCTTGGGCAGACGCAAAAAGGTGCGTGAGGAAAAAGAGTGTCACGTCGCTCGTGTTCTTCAATCGGGACCAGCACCGCCTTCCACCGGCCCACATGCATGTCGCCTTGAGTCGGCGCCGCTGCCGCTGGAGTATGGGTTGTGGTGGCGTCGGGGTGCCTGGCTGTGGGGCGGAGCTCGGTGTCCTCGGCGACCAGGCAGCGCCGAACAAAAAAGACAGCGGGAAGCATGCCCACCCCCGCAAGGCGAGGCAACTGGGAAGAAGCACGTCCCCGGCGCCGAGGACGTTGCCAAGGTCCGAACCCACATCCGCCCAGAGGTCGAACGCAGCGCCCGCGATCTCACAGGCAAGGACGACTAAGCGCCACATCGTGCTCGACATCGTAGCGCAAGGGCCTCGCCGAGGCAGACGCCGGCTATCAACTGCGGCCACCCCAGGCGCAGTCCGCGCGCAACGCGAACCCAAGCCGCGGCCGGCAAAAAGACCGTTGCGAGGACACGCAACAGCATGTTCCAGGGCGTGTTTCGGGGTGCCCAAGGGCGGGCGAACAAAAGGTGCGCTGGCGCTCAGCTTCCGGCCGCGCCGTTTTGGCCGGAGCTCTTTGAGGGTTCGCTCAAAAAAGGGCTTGTGGCCGGAGACCATGCCAGTGGCTGGCAGCAAGCGACTTGTGCCATTGAAGGTCGAGGTTTTCACGCATTGTCCGCCGGCCGCCGCTGCACTCAACTTGGCCGTCGATCGCCTTGACAACCGCTGTTTGGAAGTCGTCGCCACCGACCAGCTCGCCGTCGACACAAGTCTTGTGTGTGGCCGCCCGCGCAGGCGTGGTGGGCGCGCTCTTGTTGATGACCGGCGCCTTGAGGTTGTCGCCAACAGGCCCCCCTTTTCCGGTCGACACCACGTTGGTGCGCGAGCTCGCGCCTGCCAGGCCAGCCCCCCCCCCCCACACCTTGCCAGCCGGTGAGGACGCTGGCCCTCAAAAAAACAGGAGTGCCCCTGGTGCCTGGGGGGCCCCCTTACGCTGGGTTTCGGGGGGCTCGACTCGTGGTGATGCAAAAAAGCGTGTGGAAAAAACACTCGATCTACGAGCCTTCCGATGGAAAAAGGCGTGCTGAAAAAATGTAAGATCTGCCTAATCCAACCTTCTGTGACCTCATTCTGAACCAAGCCGACATCCAGACCCGCCACCATATGCTAAGAATGGCCTGGCATGATCGTGTTGCCGGATTTTGTGCTCCTTCGCGATGTGGATCGTGCGAGCATGAAGGATGGCTTTTGGAAGGCATGACGCCCGTAGCCATCGGTCGCTTACCCTGCGAAACAGTTCCCACACTTCTTTCGGGAGGCATGACAGACACTCCTTACCAGTCCACCAATCCGCCCTGGCGGAGCTTCCGGATGCCATAGCGACCCCCATGATCTCGCGCGCACACGGTGGCCGCCAGTTGATGCCGTCCACCCTTGAAGAGTCGCCAAGAAGCTGCGCAGCTATGCTGTGCCTTAGGGCTGATAGTTAAATCAGGCAGCTGAAGCTTCCTTTGCAACTCCCAGCTGCTACTACGCAGCCGGGCTTTGTTTTCCCACCCACCCTCCTGATTCAGGCGATGCAGGATTCGCTCAATCTCGTCGAGTCTAGCCACCTTCTTTCTGAGCTTGGTAGCCTCATGCTGCCAGCTCCGTTCAAGGAGCTAGTCCTCTTCCGGCTGCGTTCTTTCCTGCAGAGGGCCCTACGCCAGCCCATATTTGAGCGTCGGAGCTATTTGTTCGCACAGGACTTTCTTGATCTTAGGGGGCTTGCTCAGCCTGTTCCAGAAGTGGTAAGAGGCGCTATGCAACACCCGATCCACCCCTTGGCAGTCAGTAAGCTGCTTAGGATAGCTTGACCATACACACCAGCAGGCTGAGTCCGGCCGAGGCTTTTTGCTGTGAGCCTGCCCCAAAAACTACAGAGCTTGGTGTTCCTGGCGCATAGGGTTCTCTGTGCCAACTGGGGCACACCAGGCCGCTGGCAAGTTCTGTACTTGTGCTTAGGTCTCAGAACTCTCAAGCAGCGGACGCAGGTGAGCATCGTTTTCGTCCTGTCTGTCGCAGCAGCAGAGGCTTTTTGGCATTGTTTCCACCGCCGGGCGCGATGATTTCCACTTCAGTCCACTCGCGCCCTCCATGTACCCTTATTAGGGGTATCAGGAGGTTTCGCACAGAAGACCAAGTGCATCCCCTGCACCTGGTCTATAAGCTAGACCACCTTTATGCGCCCGGCTGCACACTCCACGCGCGGTCTAGCACCTACTTCCTGCATCAGCCTTTCAACAAAAACTCCCGCATGACCCGACCAGCGCAGAATTCTGTCCGCGTCCTTGACAGGAGCCTTGAAGTAACCCAGCAGGCAGGTTTCAGCACCGCCCTGCCTCGTGGATTGCTTAGATTCACACCCATAGGTGGCGGGAAGAAGCCTTGTATCTGAGAGCCATTTCAGCAGGGGTGCTGGTTTTTGAACTGAGTCCACGCCTGTTTGTCCACATAGGCCTGATTCGCGTATCTCAGGGGCGTTTAGAGCCCACCAGCACACATTGCAGTTTCAGATTCTGCACCTGACAAGGTCGGCCGCAAAACCTGTGCCTTCTCTTTGCACACAACAAGGCGCACAAAGGTGGTTTCCACCCCACGCATAGCTGCCATCTCTTATACACCCGGCAGGTTTTGCTGCCCCCTTTTATATGCGGTCTTAGGGCCCGGCTCCAGAAGCTTACCTTGTGGAAGCAGCTGACCACATTTCTGAGGCGGTCTAAAAAGACCTTCTCCGTTTTTGGCTGCATGCTGCACCAGTCTCTGAAGTGCTCCAAGTAGCACCGCATCCTGTTCTTCCTTCCCAGAAGGAGCCGAGGAGGGAGCCTTACCAGGTTTACGGCGCTGCTCCGAAGGCAGCTCCTTAGGGCAGCATCAAGCCGCGCAAGCATGCGGCGGCCTCCACCGCCACGCAACTGCAAGTTCAAGCCAACTTCAAGCCCATGGCATGCAAGCTGCGCATCACAGTCAGCAACCAACGTGCAACTACTCACGCAAGCGTCACAGGCCAACGCGAAGCACGCCAAGCCTACCCAGGCCAAGCTCACGAAGCCAAGGCACGCGCAGCCTTCTTTTCCTGCGACACCATGTTTGACAGGTCCATAACGTCGACGCCCCACAGTCCTACAGTACAGGAAAGAAGGCCGTCTTTGCTTCCTCAAGAAGCATGCATGTGCTACCCAGCACTTTTTCCCAGTCCATCATCCACGTTCTTCTGCTTTGTCCTTGCCGCACTTTCGATTACCCACCTCCACTGCGAGGAAGTCGGCGGCGTAGAGGCCGACAACCCGCGGGTGAGGCATCGCGCAGGTGAAACCAGCGTGACGTCGCAACAAAGGGCCTCGCCAACGCCGGCGATCATCTGCTGCGGCACCGCACAAGCTTCCGGGCCCGAATCCAGGTGCTCGATGAGGGGCTAGAAGCCGGGGACCCCATATGACCAACGGCAGCAGCAGGCGAAGGAGGCAAGGCGAAGCGGCCTCACCAACAGCTCGCGCACGCGGCGCAGCAGTGCGCAACTCCTTCTGCAAACCCGCGGCTAGTTGGCCACACGCGCGCGCCTGCATGGGTGGCTTTGGCCTGCTGTGCGCTGAGCACGCCGCTTCGCCCTCCGCGCCGCACGCGTTGTGGTTGCTCCAAGTGACTGCTGCAGAAGAAGCTGCAGTGCGGTAGTTTGCCTGCTGTATGTTTGCTCGTGCTGAAGCCACCTGAAGCATGGTACGCACCAGGGTACCCATGGCATCGTGCGCAGGGCAGGCGCGTTTACTCGACCGGGAGGTTCATGTCCGCAAGGCGTGACTCAAGCGCCCGCCTCGCGGCAGACCCTGCGGCTCGGATCCCGAGGCTGCACTGGCGAGAGCCAACAAAGTGAGCGCCCGCCTGCTTGCGCCGGCGCACTACCTCGAGCACAGCGCCATCGTGCTCAGCATATCGTACACCTTGGGAAGCCGGAAATGTCAAACTTGAGGGTGTTCCTCAAGACATGTTGAATTGGTCGTGTCGTCTAAAAAACAGCCTGGACCTGCCAGACGTTTTTGTTTTTAATGCATATGTATTTATATACATATATATATATATATATGGCACCCCCCCCAAAACCTACATTTTACTGAATTTCCTGTTCAACGGGCTTGCTTTCCCCCCAAGAAAACCTGGGTTTTCCACTTTTGGCAGTGAACTATGCTCATTTCGCCTCAGCAAAGCTTCAAAAACACCACAAACAACACAAAACACGAAACAAACCGAAAAAAACCGAAAAACCGAAAAACCAAAAAACCAAAAAAACCCAAAAACCAAAAAACCAAAAACAAATCCTACCCCCAGCATGGCTGGGATACATAGGCTTTTTTGGTTTTTTGTTTGTTTTTTTGTTATTTTTTTTGTTTTTTTTTTGGTTTTTTGTTTTTTTGGTCTAGCCACATGTTGCGCAACATTTGGGAATTGTTGCGCAACATTTGGGAATTGTTGCGCGACATTTGGGGATCGTTGGGCGACAATCGGGAATTGTTGCGCAACATTTGCGGAGGGCGGCTTGACGCTACGCCGACTCGCAAGCCGTCGCTTCCCATAGCCATTTGGTTGCTCCAATTTGATTGCCCGACGCATTCCGAGTTCATATCCGTCAAATGTCGCCCAAGTACATCTTGCAGATTGCGGGGCAGCTGCAGGTGGACCACTCCGAGGTGTCCATCCGATTCCCGTTAGATTGGCCAACGCATGCACTCCATCCAGGCGGCCTTGGGCATCAAAAGGGGGCAGGGCGGGGAGTGGAATGAGATCGCCCAGCAGCGCATCGAGACATGGCTGCTCACCGCCCGGCGCCGGACGTTGCAATCGAATGTTCCGCAGCTCGCCTTGGAGGACAAGTCGGGCTCCCCCAAGAGGAAGAAGGTCAAGTCATCCAGTTCCGGTTCGCAATCCTCATCTTCTGGGTCTTCCTCGTCCTCGGCATCTAAGGCAAGCAAGCCTGGCAGCACGGCGGTGTTGCTGGAGGAGGAAGTGAAGCGCCGCGAAGCCCAGGCAAAGAACACGGAGTTGGAGACCAAGGTGGCCGATTTGGAGGCGGAGAATGCCAAGCTTAAGGCCCAGCTGTGTACCTTGAGTGCAAAGAACTGATGTACAGGCAGTTGCTACGTAACGCCCAGAAGCCGGAAAAAAAGCGTACGCTTATCTTGTGACCATGCTTGCCTGCATGCTTGCGTGATGCCGCACTTGCACACCAACAGAGTTGGCCCAAAAAGTCCCTCCCACAAACTGCCCGGCCAGTCAGTCATGTCCTCATCCATCTTCGAGGAAGCTTGCCTGAAAGTGGCGTCTATGAACGTGGTAAAATTGAGCACGCCTCGCTTTGACAGAAGCGATGCCTGTGCCCACAACATTGCAGACCTACCGCTCAAGGATATGGATGGTGGCACGAAAATCAAGTCTGGGGTTGATGTTCTTGAGCAAGCGCTGGGGAAAGTATTGACTTTGATGCCATTGAAGCAATCATGACCCGAGAGAACTACTACGACCTCCCCGCCCCGATTGCTCCTGCTTTAAAGTCTGTCATACCCTTCAAGATGCAGTTGGTGGTCCGCCAGTCAATGCCTTCCACTTGCATCATCCTCAAGCATTTCATGTTTGAAAACAAGGTGCCGGTACGCATGTTCCGGGCCATGACTGTGGGGAAGCCAAGCCAAGCGGTCTACTGTGAAGGACAAGAATGCTTTGCAGATCGGCTTTGATTTCATCAAGGAAGAGGGGCCGCGCACGAACATGTGCAACCGTCAGACTGAGTGGACTGAAATGGAGATTCATCGAGAAGGTAGTCCCATCTTTGGCTGGAGCTCTGGGCTTGTGAAAGAGTCCTTGAGAGGGTATTCATCCTGAAACGTGTTTGTGGTGCCCACCACGAACTTCTTCCAAACCCTCCACGATCTGAACGCGTGGTTCTTGCACGACATCCTGGCCCCACTTCTGAAGGACATCAATACGAAGACCTTGGTGTTTATGGGCTTGGCTGAGAAGGGCAAAACCCCTGCAGCTCAAGCAATTGCAATGGCCATTTCAGAGTACTACATCTTCAAGGAAGGCAATGGCGAAGACGAGGTGCCTTCATTTCGATTGTGCTCCAGCCTTAATTGCGCGGAGAGCAGGGTGTTAAAACACGTCCGGATATCCTAGATGATGCAGATACCAGCTCCATTCCCATCCCAAAGCTCAAAGCCTTCCTTGACTCGAGCTTGATGGAATCCCACACGGTCGAGCGATGGACTACAAGTAAGTTTGTCAGCTCCGCATCATCTGCGACAACAAAGTCAACGAAGCAGCTGAGCCTGAGGTGTCTAACTTAGGTCAAGGGATTCCCTTCGGCTCCTTCCTGGACATGATTGCCCGCAGTCCCGTATGACCACGGCGTGATGGACTTTATCAGCGAGGAAGGCAAGCACGTCATTCGGGCGATGAAGGAAGGCAACCCTTTGCCGCCCAATGATTGGCTGATGAAGCGGCAGTGGTCCCATGACTTCTTGCCCATTTCACTGCGACACGTGGCAAGGGATCGGCTGCGCGAATTGTGGAAGTGTTAGAGCTTGAAGGCTTGCTTTCAAAGGCATGGTGAAGAAGACAATGGCGACCAGATGGTGGCAAGGCGGGCTTCACCTCTCGGCAATTTGGAACATCATCGAACAAACCGCGTCCACGGATGACAGCAGTTGGCCAGCGTCAATGATCAGAAGGAGCGGTTCGACGAGGAGAAGCAGACTGCCTTCAAAAAGGCCAAGACATGGAGCGTGGAACTTAATGCTTCCAAGACATGCATTGACTTGACAGATGATGCGGACGAGCCCGCAGAGTTTGACCAAGAAGATTTCGAGAAGGGTCTGGAGGCGGCTTTGGAGGAGAACCTTGACATGGACGTGGACGAGGATTACCTCGAACATGGAGCTGGGCTTGGAAAGCCCTGATGAGTGAAGGCATGCGTATAATGTAGTCTGGCTTGTCACCCATTTTGTCAACATGAACAGGGTGTAGCTATGCCATCAACTCACAGCTCCAGCAAAAACGATACTCAAGTTAGCCTGCCTTGCTACATTTGCGCATTGAAGTTTCGAGTTGCTTGCTTTTGTCAAGCATGCTTGCGTTGCATGGTTGTGCTTAATGAATTGCCGCAGCCCATGCGCAAGTGGATCTCCAACAGTGCCCGCCTGCCTTCCCGAAGATGTCCGTTCAGTTCAACCCGTTTCCTGACCCGAAGCGTGGCAAGGCTCGGGCGGCTATGAAGAGGCCAGCGGCAGCCAAGGACAAGGAGTGGAGCAGTGTTCCATATGTCCGGATGAAGCCGAACCTGCCCGGGCAGATCAATGTAAGTGGTCCAGATCCATATCGGAGCTGCTCACTTCGACGACCTCCGGTCTGGTCGAGATCCTTCGCGAGGACGGTCTTCTGCCTTCGTGGGAAAACAAGGTCTGTCCTCGATGTGAAAAGGGCACATTGTCACCGTTGCGGCTCGACCCTGCGGAGCCTGATGAGATGCCCAAACACAGGTGCGATCGGCGGGGTTGTCAGGTCTACGTCAATCCGCACCACTTGCGCCCAATCTTTGGGCGCGGGTCTGCAACTTCTTCCCTGTTGCTTTTGAACAATGTACCTCATCCTGTTATCCATCGGCTCTTACACGCCAACCACAAGAGATCGAGGACATGAGTCGTCGTCTACATGATGCTCAGACTCACTACGTGGAAGAGAAGGAGAAGAGCATTGTGCTGGGAGGTGAGAAGAACTGGGTAGACATTGAAGCGGATGAGACTACCTTTGCAAAGAAGAATGTGGCCGAGTTTGTCGAGGACAAGTCCAAGCCAGTGCTATGGGAGCAGTGGTGCGGCGTTGTCCAGAGGGGCAAGCCAGAAACGTTGGTGCTGAAGCGCCTCAAGCCTGAGCTTTCGCAGCCACGCGCACTTGGCCCGGGAGCCATTCGAAAGGTGGAGTGGACTCCGATTGCGAACAAACTGCTGCGGGACAAGAATGTCATCCTGCGCACGGACGCGGCCAAGTCGTATAAGGTGAAGGTCTCTGGGGTGCTTCATGACAAGGTCGTGCACTCCAAGAAGCGCGTGAAGAAGAATGGGAAATGGAGTTGGAAGGCGCCTTGCTATGTGAAATTTGTGAAGCACAAGAACCCAAAGACGGGCAAACTCATGAAGGTGAAGGCTGGGACGCAGGTGATCGACCGTGCATGCGGTACCTGAAAGACCGTATCACAATTACAGAATGCCACAGTTGGGTCCATTGTCCTACGATCCAAGATCAGGTCTGCCCAATACGAGTATTGGCTTCGGAACGAGGATTTGTGGCTGGCATCCGGTCAGTTGTGCGCATGGGTCATGACTAAGTTCATGAAAAGCCCATAGCAGAGTCCAAGGCGCAATGGGGCAGAAATAAGAGCTCATGTGCTTCCATGTTGCCAGGAATCAAAAATACACGCGTCTGTTGCCATCTGCATGTCCAACCCAACACGCATCCTCACAATTGTCTCCTTGTCCATCTGTCCTTCCAAACCATCTGCTCCTGTCTGGCATTTCATTTAAATACACCTATTTACAAGGAAATTCAGTAAAATGTAGGTTTTGGGGGCGGGATAGCATATATATATATATATGTATATCGTTTTTGGCTTTTTGGCTTCTTGGGTTCTTGGCTTCTTGGCTTCTTGGCTTTTTAGGCTTCCCGGCTTCTTCACTTTTCGGCTTCTTGTTGGTTTATGCGGCTTTTGGTTGCCTTTTGGCTCTGCATTCCCAGTTCCTCTTCGGCAGGTGGCTTTTTGGCTTTTGCGGCTTTTCGCTGGTTTATGCGGCTTTTGGCGGCTTTGGCTTTTCGAACCCTCTGCTTTCCCAGTTCTTCTCCGGGCTTTGGCTTTTGCACCCGCTCATTGGTTTTGGGATTTGGCTTCCCGCATCATCAACATCACCAGTCTTCGAACATCATGGGGGGGCTCCCCCCCCACCCACCTGCTAATTTTTAGCAAACATCATGGTGGAGGCGGCACGGTCGCTGCCTTGCGAGAGCGCACTTCGCGCGCAACCTTTGAGTTGGAAACTTAGCGGTTTTTCGGCTGGAAATGCGGGAATGCGCTTCGCACACGACTTATGTACTCCTCCATGTACTTGCACCTTTTTTCCCCACCCGACAGAAGGGGTTGTTAGATTTTATGTTGGAAGCCGCGTTTGCGATGCTTCTACACCACGCCCCCGCCCAGTATCCCGCAAGAGCAGCTCGCCAGTGGATCCCGCCAAGTATGAGCCAGTGGATCCCGCCGAGTATCCCGCCAGAGCGGCTCGCCAGTGAATCCCGCCGAGTATCCTCTGGCGGCTCGCCAGTGGATCCCGCCGAGTGTCCCGCCAGAGCGGCTCGCCATTGGATCCCGCCGAGTGTCTTGCCAGAGCGGCTCGCCAGTGGATCCCGATCCCGCCGAGTATCCCGCCAGAGCTGCTCGCCAGTGGATCCGGCCGAGTATCCCGCCAGAGCATCCCGCCAAGTATCCCGCCAGAGCGGCTCCCCGCCAAGCATCCCGCTGAGTATCCCAGTGAATTCCGTCGAGTATCAGAGTAGCTCGCCAGTGGGCCCCGCCGAGTATCCTACCAGAGCAGCCCGCCAGTAGATCCCGCCGAGTATCCCGCTGAGTGTCCCAGTAGCTCGCCAGTGGACCCCGCCGAGTGTCCCGCCACTGCCAGTGGATCCCGCCGAGTATCCCGCTGGATCCCTTGCCGGTGGATCCCCGGCCAGTATCGAGCCGAAGCGGCTCGCCAGCATTCGCCCGTGGATCTCCACAGCAGCTCGCCAGTCTGGTTTTGCTCAATGTCCAAAAAGGGCCGATGGGAATTTGGAGTCCAAATCTCTAGGATGCGGAGGAATTTGTTGTAACGGTCGTACGCTCGTGTGTGTGGAGGGTGATTGCTCGAAGCGAAGTTGTTTTTTTTTTTAATTGACAAAAAAAAACGCTGAGAAACTACAGTACGAGAACGCACTTCGCGCGCGACCTTTGCGTTGGAAACTTAGCGGTGTTTCGGCCGGAGCTGCGGGAATGCGCTTCGCACACGACTTTTGTACTCCTCCATGTACTTGCACGAAACCACAGAAGAGTGCGCTTTAAATAGAAATGGGGATTCTCGAGCCGGAGCGGGGAATACACTTCGCGTACTACTACCTTTGTACTCAACAGTTTTCGATTTTGTGGCAAAAACTGCGGGAATACTCTCCGCGCACTATTGGGTACGTTAAAAAGTGCTATCCTTGAGCCATGCGTTTTGTGTATTACATTTGCACAACAGTTACGACTTTCGATCCCGCGTTGCTTGAATGCTTTTCGCGTACTGCTGATGTCTTGAAACATGCGATGTCAGGTAGTGCACTTTGCGTGCTACTTTTTTTTGTACTCGAGCTGGGGGAAAATCGAGCGCTAGCAGGCCCGGCTAGACAGGCCACGCAAGCGAGAATTCACGCAGCTTCTTTCCAGCTTGCCGAGCGCCAAAGGCTGCGCTGCTTGGTGCGAGCGCGCACGATCCAGCAAGCGCCAACGTCCCTGCAGGACCTAAGTAGGGCTTTCTGGGGGGGGGGGAACTAGACCCATATGGCGGGCAAAAAAACCAGGCCTTGCGGTTGCTCCTGGACAGAGGAGGATGCCCAGCTGCTCCACTAGCCTTGCAGCCAGCCCGATGTTCATCGTTTGTCCGGGCTGCTCAGCGCCGCAGCTTCGCTTGCCTGTGCCTCAAGCTTGACCAGCGTTCCTTCTCCCGGGCTTAGCAACTTTGATGGTTCGTTCTTGCTGCTTGCCTGCGCCCCCGAGCCCGGGCCGGTGGGTCCTGATGCCCGGGGTCCCCGAAGCGCCTACGAGCTGGGCCAGCGGAAAGTACCTTGAAGCCATCGCCCGCGCTCCGCTAAGCATGGTGGCGCACCTTTTGGCGGCTGGTATTCTGCACAGTGGTCAGCATTGACGGCGGGGGGCTATCTTCAGTGACCACGCCATTGTGCGTTTCGTGGGCTTCAGACGGGTTCGCTTGAGACGTCTGCGCTTGCTCGACAACTCGGCCTTCAATTGCTTAAATTGTGGCCTTGGTCCTTTTTGCGTCTTTGCAGGGTGGAGAGGTGCTCGAAGCAGGCAGCAAGAGCTGCCTTGCAAAAAAAAGGGAAATGCAGTACTTCGGGACAAGGCAGGTTGCTGGAGCGCGGCTGGCCCGATTGGCAGGATATTGGAATGTGCCAAAGCGCGTTCAAGAGCTGTGCCCGTGCGTGGGGGCTTCCGTGCCTATATTTCTAAACAAGGCTATGGGCGGCATGCTTAAGATGTCTTTGGCTCAGAGCATGACCCGCTTGAATGGGTGGAGCACATGTAAGTAGCATGCATAGCTCAAAACACTAGGCTTGAACTGGGTAACTCTGGCTAGGCCAGGTTCCATGAACATTGGACAAGTACTGTTAGAACAATTGGATACACAGGTCCGAAACAAGGTTGATTCAAATTAAAACATGCCAACATAAAGCTGGCACATGCGTTTTCAGGCTGTGCGTCCCTACATTTGGCTGAGCAGATTGGTTCCAGCCTTCAGCTTTTCAAATGTGACCGACGCTCCTGCCATGGCAGCTGCTGTGCGCCCGAGCGATTAGAAGATGGGCAGGTGGGCATATGTGTCGTTTGATGCAAGTCAAGGACCAGACACAGAGTGTGGAGTCCTGTATGCTTTGAGTTTGCGTTGCAGACTGTGCTGTGTTGCTGTGCAGCTGCTCAAGGATGATAATGCGGGAGCTGTGCAGTTTGTTTTGGTTGTGCAAGTGTTCAGGATGCAGTTGCCTATCGTTTTGGTGCAAACATCTTACTGGCGTTGCTGTCTCCGTTCCATCGCTTTCTTTGCATTAACATGACCACCCATGGCTAGCTGTTTGTGCGTGCTTTGACGATGGCTACATGCCCTGCCAACCAGATCAGGGCTTTGCAGCCTTGGCAGTGCAGCAGCCAGAAACAGAGAGGATGAGCACGAGCACTTTGAGTGCAGTGGTTGCGTTGCGAGCGTCCAGCAGTTTCCTGTCCGAGGAGGTTCATGCGGAATCTTGCAACTCAACGATCGCCTTGCCACGGCATTTCTTTTTTGGCTTGGGGCTGGCGCTGACGGCTTGCATGGGCGGCGGGCTCATATTTGGCTGCGCTCCTTTTCAGAATGCCCTGGTACACAAGTATGGATATTCAATGGCTGATACGGCTGCTGTGTGGGGCCGAGGCTTTGAAATGTTTGTTTTCGGTACAGCAATCCTTTCGCCATTTTTGGATGTGGTCGGGCCGCGCTGGTTTGCAGTTGCTGGAGCTGCCATGGAATGGCTTGGGCACAACTTTCTGACTAGGACAGCCTCCTTCCCTGTCACACAAGGTGTTGATATCTTGTCGTTTGCGTATGGAATGGTCGGCCTTGGGGGCAACATGCTCATGCTCGCTTCTGTGCAGTTCTGCCAGCTCTATTCGAGGAGTAGCACGGCGGCTGCGTTGCTGATGGGTGCCTACCAAAGTGCTGGCTTCATCTTCACGATCTTCAGCTTGACCAATGTGGACTTCTCCACCTTCTTCGGGATCTACCAAGTCATCTCGCTGGTGGGCTTGGCGGTGGTGTTGCTCTCGTTTCCGGACAAGCCATGCGAGTCGCCTCAGGATGCGCACTGCAGCTTGCCTGTGGCCTGCACATGGCTTTGTACCCGGACGGCGACGGTGGATCGGACGGGCATCGGAAGCCTGGGGCGCTCGCTGGCGCCGTTGAAGCGGCTGCGCACGTGGCTCTTTCTTCTCTCCTTCTCCATGGCTGCCACATGTGGCGCTTGGTGTGATGGCATCTTCCTGTCTGAGCTGAATCGCAAGGCTGCAGCAGACCCAGCTGCGAAGAACAAGCTGAGCCAGCTCATTTTTTGGATGCCCCTGGTATCAAATGCAACATTCTTTTTCACCCCTTTGATCGGGGCGCTGATAGATTCACATGGCTTTCCGCTAGCGGTGCAGCTTCTGTTTGCAGTGATTGCGTTGCTGGTGCTATCGCTGTGGCTGCTGCCCTTGGCTTGGCAATGGCTCACGCTGCTGCTGCTGAACTGGCTCCAGGCGGTGACCTACACCTTGCAATTCGCATACATCACCCGGAGGTATGCCTCCGACCAGTTTGGCGCGGTCATGTCTTTCAGCACACTGGCGCAAGCAGCTGTGAACCCGCTGGGGGTTTACTTGTTGTCGGCCCCACTCTTTCAAGCCGCCATTGCGTTCATTCCTTGTAGTTTAGTGCTATGCGGTCTATGGTCCTGGCAAGAGACGGCGAGACCAGCGTGAGAGAAGATTAAAAGGAGCGCCAATCATAATCTGTCGTTTGGCATCAATGCCAAGCTGGGTTTCTCGCTTTGCAAGCATGTGGCTCGTGGCTGTCGGGCTGGCAACATTGAGGCATGAGCAAGGTGACGTTGGTGTGATAGACACTCAGAAGCTTCTTTATTTGTGTTTTTCTCAAAGAGCGGATAATGTTTGCCTGACACCTCCTATGTTATGGTCTGATGTCGATGTCTACGCCAGGAAGCGGCAGATTGATGGCGAGGCGGGCAACGCAGCGTCATGGTCAAAGACTGTCACCGTGACTTCGAACCGGTTTGTGCCAACACTGGTCTTGCCAAGTGCTTATGGGTCAAAACTAGATTATGAGGGGACCGCAGATTTTAGTCCTTGGTTCCATTACCCAGGGTTCCATTTTGGGCCTTTTACCCATTCTTCCTTGTCTCTGTCAAGCCTCGTCTCATCATCGCACTCGAGAGCTGCTTCGGCTCAAGCAAGGTCCTGGCATTTTGAGACCTTGAAAGGCGCCTTCTCATGGCGCGGGGCACTGATGTTGCCGTGCGCATGATGTCCGGCGAGGTCATCGAAGTGACCGCGCGCAGTCTTGCGGAGCTCCGTTCGTTGGTGGCGGCTTCGGCCCAGACGTGCGCCGACTTCTTGAAGCTGGTGCACGGTGAGAGTGTCCTGTCGGATGAAGCCATGGACGTGCAGCCGCTCGCTGGGGCCGAAGTGTTCTGCATTGTCACACCCAGCGTGCCAGACTTGATCAAGTCACTGCGCAAACACGAGTTCCATTTTAGGGGTTTGAACGGAGTCACATCAAATGAAGCCCAAAAAGCGTACGGCTACAATGTGCTTCATGCGGCGGTACTGCTGGGCAAGCTTGATATGGTGCGATTCTTTCTGGAGGAGGAAGATTTCAACGGCGTCAACAGTACGGTTGCTGGCCAAAACGGCGTTAACGCTTTGCACATTGCAGCCAAGCAAGGGCACGCGTCCATCTGCAAGGAGCTGCTTTCTTGCCGCCGCTTCCTTCACCAGAATGCGCAAAGCTGGGATGGAACTGCGCTGCACGTTGCCGCGCGCGCCGGGCACGTGGAGGTCATGCGCATCCTGCTGGCCTGGGATGGCTTCCGCGTGAACGAGCGCATGGGAGTCCCCGAGTGGCACCAAAATTGGCGCACGCGCTGCGGGCAGACGGCGCTGCATGCTGCGGCGGAGCAGGGCCAACTGCAGGCAGCCCAGATACTTCTGGACCACCCCCGCTTCGTGGAGGCATGACCGCGCAACGAGCCGAGGATGTTGTGGCAACGTGAAGGCCCATTTTGCCATTGGACCGGAACAGCATGTGCATGCAAACATTGGACGACTGTTGATTCAGGATGGGGAGCTTTGGTAAAGACACAGTTTGTAATGCATTGCTTGATCGGGGGAGGTTTTTTGGTTGAGGTGCGGGGCAGCCTCACCTTGCCATGTGCCACTGGGTGGGAAAGTAATTGTGGGGTGGTCGAGCCTACGGCTCTGTTGGCACGCCAGCTCAAAGTTCCGCTGTTCGTGCTGCCCACTTGGTCTTTGGCATGCGAGCAACACTCAGAGCTTGGGGGGGGGGGGGCCGTCGGGGCACCGATGTCCCGCTCGCGCTGCGGCACCGCGTTGCTGTTCCAGGTGGGCGCCGTCACCAAGGCCTTCCAGGACGCCATCGCGCTGGCGCACACCGCGGGGCACGGAGAGCTGGTGAAGCTCATCCGGGATCACCCCAAGGTGGTGGACTTCAAACGCCACGGCCGCCGGGGCTACGCAGCCTGAGCTGTGGCAGTGGAGTCTATGGAGGATCTTGTTGAATGGTTTCGCGCAAGCAGGCCCGAAACAAGCAAAGAGAGAGAGAGAGAGAGTGAGATGTGCGCTGGGGGTGGGTCATGCAACCGGGGCAAAAAGCCAGTGTTGAGCTGCTTCGATTGGCATGGGCAAGCTCTGAGAGTTTCTGTGCACGCCAGGGCACCCCAGGCTTCGGTCTTGGAGGCGAGCTTGCAGCAGTCACAATCAGGGGCTGTAAACGAACTGTCACGATTGACTCTTTTGCTTGGGAACGCCTTCACCCCAAACCCTTCCTCCCAGTTATGCAAGCCTGTAGCTGCTCGTGGAGTTGCTGTAGGTACCATCAAGATCCACCAGTTTGCGTTTGTACCTTGGAAGACTGCCTTGTTGCGTGGATTGGCTCTCTGCCAGAAAGGTTCTCAGAACCCTTCTAAGAACTATGCATTCTCTGCGAATTTTCTCTGCAGCAGGGTCTTTGTTTCCCCGCAGGCTCAAAGGTTTGAGTTTGAGGCCCGGCAACCCCTACCTGGCATCAGTGATGCCGAGCCCCCAGCACTACGCGCTTGACTCAGTCCAACGACGTTTGGGTTCCCAGGCCGCTGCTTGCGAGCATGGCAAGCGCCGCGGCCTTACGGGCGCGGGGCCACGCGGCCGCGGGCTGGGTGGGTTTGGAGGCCGGGCGTGTGGCGGCAAAGCCGAGGCATGCAACATGGCACCGCAGAATCAAGAGTCCAAGCACATCATCAGTCAGGAATGTGGAATGTCCAAGCACAGTTTGTGTTTGTGCGCGTTGTGTCGGCGAATTGGACGCCTTTTCGTGGCGACCTTTGGCAGGACTCTTGGCGGCTAGTGAAGATTGAGCCAGAGGTGCAGGCACTCCAATGTTCTTCTTGTGATTTGTGGCTTTGCCTAGTCAAGTTGGCTGGCCTCTCGCCTGGGCCACTGGGCTCGCATTGACGCCTTCGATTGCCGGTGCTTTCCGCGCTGTTTGTTTGAAAGCGGGCTGCGGAGACAGGACATCGCAGACCACTTCGGCCTGGATGAGCGGATCACTGGGAAGCTGCAAGAGGTTGGGCCGTCCGCGCGCGCTTTTCGGTCACGCCGGATGGGGATGGCTCCAGGCCCTAAACACCCGGCCAGATCCGGGCACCGACCTGCAGGCTGGCAGTCGAATATGGGGGGTTAGCATGATGGGGTTGGTTGCAGCACCGGGCGGCCAGCCAGAGTGTGTGTCTGTGTGCATGCGTGTGTGTGTGTGTGTGTGTGTGTGTGTGTGTGTGTGTGTGTGTGTGTGTGTGTGTGTGTGTGCGTGGGTCTGTATGCACAGGTGAAACTATCATGGAAACAGAAATGGCACATTCCTCGCTACATTGATTGACAATTGAGAAAGCAATCCTGTCACGCCACGGCAGGTGATGTGGGAGATCTTGGATGAGGCGAGGAACCCGCCAGGCCTTACGATGATCAAGGCCGGGTTGCCATGCCATGGCAGCGCATGGATCTCTCTCTCTCTCTCTCTCTCTCTCTCTCTCTCTCTCTCTCTCTCTCTCTCTCTCTCTCTCTCTCTCTCTCTGTCTCTCTCTCTCTTTTTCTCTCTCTCTCTCTCTCTGTGTGTGACATGTGTTGCCAGCATGCCCTCCGCCCATGGCAATGCATGCATCAACTTCTTGCCAGGTCAAGGAGATGCTGGATGGCACTTTCCGTGCCGGGGAGCAGAAGGATGCCAGGTTCTGAGGCATTGCCAAACTGACTGGGAAGAAGAGTTGGAGTTTTGTGGGATATCCACGCGTTGCGGGCTTGGACACGGCGCTGTGGCTTCAGCTTGGAATTCGCTGATGTGCAACGCTTCAGGTTCAAATTAGCCAAAATCAACACGAACATTTCAGTTGGACCTAGCCTTGCTCAGCTCACGCCCACGCTGTCTCGTACAACAGCACCATGCCACAGCCGCATGTTGCAGAGCGATATGCAGAGTGCCCGCTTTGCTTCAAGCCGCTGCATTTGGGCGCTGTTGCGCCTTGGGCTACATCTGGCTGGGCCCCCCCCATTTGGGGGCACTTTCGTGGCCCGAGCGCCAACGGCAAGTTTGTAAAACGTGGCCAGATTTGCTCTCGCACGGCCCTCGCGTGGGGCATGTTTGATTTCCCCTCTCCCCATGCCTGTGAGGTTTGGATGCCCTCCACTTGTCTTCTTAACGGCTTGCCACGGAGATCTCGGATCAGGGATTGGCAATTGGCCCAATTTGAAAGCTCAAGCCCCAAGGATTGAATCATCCTTCTAACGCCAACTGCTGAATCAGCCCTCACTCGTCAAGGCGGGTTTTTTCTCGCTTCATGCTCCAATAGGATTTGCAAAAACCGTCTTCATGGCCTATGGGACAACTATTTGGACTTTGACATTTGCCAACTTCTTTTTGAAACGCACCGCGTTCCTGCAGGTTTCGGGGCTTCCGGTTGGCAGCAACAGCGTATTGCTTTTGGCTGTCCTCCACCCGAGGGGCAACCTAAAAGCAAGTATCAGTGGTTTGTTCGTGGTTCGAACCAAGGTAATGGACCTGCCCACTCCTGCGATACCTTTTGGTACTTCCACAAAAATACTGTCCGTCAAGGTCGCTCTGTTGTCGGCCTGAGGCTAGGCCCTTGTCTGGCATCACAGAAGTGGTATAACAGAGCTAGCGGGCCCCAACTAAATGTGCCAGCCAATCCGACCTTCCAGCCAAACCCTGCGCGATGCACAGCGTGCCGAATAGCTGTGTCCGCAAAGTTGCAAACCGCGCACGGACGACCAGTGACGTTACCAGCTAGCAAGCTATGAATCAGCCGGCAGAAAACTTGCTGGTGCTCAGCAATGAGGGAATGGACCTGGGGGGTCCCCGTACAGGAGACACCAGTTGGATGGGTTGCAGGTGTCATTCCCTTATTTCCTGCCAAGCACCACGGGTCATTCCCTCATTCCCTCATTCCCAAGAAAGTGGATGGACAACATCCTGCACCACTTGGATTCCGTGGAAAGCCATCATTTGCTGGTAGAAACCAGGGTCTCTTATGTGGTGCGAGGTGGATTTCGTCCATCCACAGTATCACCAGCAAGAGTGGCCGGGCTGAATGAATCCATTCCCTGGGTTTCATTTGCCTTTTAGTCCATAAGCCATTTTGGGTACCCTCCCTCCCACGAACATGGCACCTGACAGGGGGTCATTTCAAATGGAAATTGATCTTCCAGGTACCTCCCCACAGGTGCCATGTTAGTGGGAGGAAGGGTACCTACTGTGGATGGACAAAATCCTGCACCACCTAAGAGGCCCTGGAGGAATGATTCCCCTGTAGATACCAACAAACAGTGGCTTCCCGTGGTTTCCAAGTGGTGCAGGATTATGTCCATCCACAGTATTTTGACAACCGCAGCCAGCAAGACGAGTGGCCGGGCTGGGTTTGTTTCCGAGGCCGTCTTCTTGGACGCGGCCGGGCGGCGCGTGGGCGGCTTCTACCGCCTCGAGGCGGCCGAGGCCTTTCTGGCCGCCGGGGGCAGCCGCTGCCCCGTGACCAACCAGCCGGTGGCCAAGGTGCAGGAGGTGCCCAGCATCCTGGAGGACGGCCTCGCGTTTTTTTTTTTTTTGTGTGAGGGAAGGGTGCCAACACTAAGCAACAAGCAAGCAAACGAAACAATTGGGGAGAAAAGGCGTCCGTTTGTGAAGCACCCCTCAAGTCAAGGGTCGAAGGGATGCCGCTTTTCATCGGCATGTACCTGGTTTGGTTCTAGTCCATGTTTTTATTTACCCGGGTTCCATTTTGGGTACCTATTTTCGACCCACAGCCATGTGGGATCTAGCAGCGCAGGACCCAAAGACATGGTTTCGGATTTGCGACGCGGACGGCGATCGCCGCCTGAGCCGGGACGAGGTGGTTGCAGCGCTCAAAGCGCAGCTGCCGTTGGCAGCTGGGTTAATGTTAACCCCAGATCAATAAACCCCTGGTTTATTGATAGGGGGGTGTCCTCCTTGAGTGGGGGTTCATCACTTTTGGAGGTAACACCCCCCCTATTAATGGGACGGGTTTATTCATCCTGGGTCAACATTAAGACTAGCAAGGTTGTCCCAGCTATCGTTCGACCCTTTCTGCGCAGTTCAGGGCCACAAGCTGCTTGCGTGCTGTTGAAGCTTACGTGACGCTTGTGGGTTTGCCAGTTTTGGATGCTTTGTTGTTGGTCCGGGCCCGGATGCATTTCGTGTTTGTGCACTGCTTGCACTGTTCCGAGCCTAGGACAACAATGCCATCGACAGGTTCCGCACAGATGATTCTGCATGGCGTATGTGGGACACCGATGGGAACCTCAGACTAGGGGAGTAAGGGTGGTGTTTCCACTACAGAGCTTGCAACTGCTTTTGGCTAAGGGCAGAAGATAGAGCCCTTTGTTTGATTCGACTGTCCGCCCGGCTTAGAAGTGGCTTCATCGAGTACACTGAGATCATGGACGAGGATCGGGGGCTTCTGAAGTTCGTCCGCGACACCTTCAGCAAGGCGGAAGCGGAGCGGCCAGTGCCCGACCTCCGCAAAGACCGCCACGGCTGGTACAGGCTGCGAGCCTGCCCCATGTGGCCCCCTTGGTTTCGAACGTTCTGTGTTTCTGCCTTAGCCTGCTTGTTTGGGGGTAGTCTCGGGGTGCCGAAACGTTTTCCCCAGCACAGGCACCTTCAGGGAAGTGCTGGCGAAGCTTAGTGTCTGGTCAGAACATGTTTAGACTTTTCGAACATCCCTTTGAGGGGTTGTGAACTCTGTCCGTGGTTGAGCTCCCAGCGTTGTTTGCCAGGCGCTGGGATGAAGACGGAAGCGGGGAGTTGGAATTTGAGGAGGTGGTTCGGGCTTTTGCAAAGAGCTTCAAGATTGACGTGCATGGCATCTCTCAGCTTAGGGAGACCCTGCGCGCGATCTGGTGCATATTTGATACTGATGACTCGGGATCTATTGACACGAGCGAGTTCATGGCTCCCAATGACGGGTTGGCAGACACAGTTCTGGCCACCATGAGTTTCATGCGGTGAGCCAACATTGGATCCGATTTGCTGTGGCCTTCACTGATGTAGAGGAACAGGCTCATCAGCGAGGAACCAAAAAGGCACAACCTGACTCTTCGAGCAAATGCCGGTTTGCTTGTTGGCATGTGGCACGCAACATAGGCGTGGAGGCAGTCTTGCGTGCGGCGTGCCAACTGTGCGCACCCGCGCCCAAATCGGTAGTTCATTTGCAATGCGACCGGGTGGGTGGCTTGATGAAGGCCGAAGCAAGCAGTGAAATTAGCCACAAGTAAAACTCGGCATGATTCTAGAATTCGTCAACAGCCGTCGGATGCATCGCTTGTTCATTCAGGTTGCTCGCTGGCGTTAAGGCTGGAGTGCAGTATTTAGCGGAGAAGTTCAAGCTGGACGAGCGGGCCGCATACAAGCTCAGCGAGGCTTGGCGTCCATTGGGAGAGTTTCACGCTTTGGGTGATGCGAATGTGAGGATCATTTTGTCAAGGTTGCCCAAGGATCTTCCTTCCGATCATTCCCTGCTAAGTGCCTCGTAGATCCAAGAATTTCTACACTGGCGATCAAATGGAGAGGGTGAAGTGTTGGAGACGTGCACTTGAACGCAGGTGCTTTCCACGAAGCCAAACAAGATGCTTGCCTGCACAGAGGCTCTTCGCGAACCGCACCAGGCCAGTGCCTGAAACATGTTTGGCATCCCTGCCAAGGAAGGATGTGCTCAAAGCCTTGGACATCCATCTTGCCGCCTGCTACCTAGAGCTATCGCATGAGTGAACCTCAACATGCAAAACCATCAGCACTGGGGACTGCAGGCTTCGAACAACCCATCAGCCCTCGTCATGCTGAAGTGCGAGTCTCAGCATGGAAGCTGAAGGAGACGTGGGTATGAGTCAATATCAAGCCACCAGGGGACCACGGGTTTTCGTCTTTGTTTCCATTTCCCAGGGTTCCATTCAGGGTACTTTTGTTTTTTGACCCACACCCAAATCAGTTTGCCTTGAGCATTTGCCCCTGCTGCCTTCCGTTCGATGTGCTGAGGCTGGCGGACCTGCGGCGGGATGTGCCTTTGGGCGAGGCGGGCAAGAGTGCCCAGTGGACGGCGTGCGAGCTGCGAGCTGCCAGGTCCCATATGGCACCAAAGGGTACCGAGACCGCCTCGAGCCAAGAGAGCAACACACATGAGAGGCACACCTTGCGTGCGTGCCCATGCGTGCCTGAGATGTTAGCTGTCCCTTTTCGCTCAGAGGCCCATACTTGGGGAGTTACGACCGCGAGGGGCGGCGTATCCGAGACGACCGGCGAGAGCGGGAGCCGCGGGAGCGGGAGGCAGGGCTTTCCGGCAGTTCCGGTCAGGGAAAGGCACATCGGCTCTAAACAGGTTTTAGCTTGCATCACATGGACATGACGGCAAATACTTCTCCACGCGCTCATATGCAACTATATGTATATGTCTATAAATATATATACCCCCCCCAGGGACCTACCCTTTTTGAGGAATTCGCTGGTATTTGCAGTGCTTTCTACCCTTGTTGGGGCTTTGGGGAGCAATGAACAAGAAGCATTTCCAAGGACATTCCGGAAGCTTCAGGCTTGATTTAAACCTTTTTAAACCGATTTAAATTTAAATCGGGCATGTTATGGATTCAAGATTCAATCAAGATTCCAGGCCAAACTTTTCCAGGGAATCTTGAATCCAGGCCTCGAGTTAGATCGATGTAAACCGATTTAAACTTAAATCGGGCATGGATTCAAGATTTCAGATTCATTGTTGTTGTTGTTGTTGTTGTTGTTGTTGTTGTTGTTGTTGTTGTTGTTGTTGTTGTTGTTGTTGTTGTTGTTGTTGTTGTTGTTGTTGTTGTTGTTGTTGTTGTTGTTGTTGTTGTTGTTGTTGTTGTTGTTGTTGTTGTTGTTGTTGTTGTTGTTGTTGTTGTTGTTGTTGTTGTTGTTGTTGTTGTTGTTGTTGTTGTTGTTGTTGTTGTTGTGGTTGTTGTTGTGGTTGTTGTGGTTGTTGTGGTTGGTGTGGTTGGTGTGGTTGGTGTGGTTGGTGTGGTTGGTGTGGTTGGTTGTTTG